TCCTCCCGTCCCACCCAGAAACTCAGACTCTCCTCCTCCTACCCGGGACCCCGACCCACGTCCCCTGACACCTGGGACACCCGATTCACCTGCCCTGTTACTGGGGACCCCCACCCCAAGCACCTCTGCTCCCACCCGGGACCCTCAGCCCTCCTCCCCTCCCAAACCATGACACGCGACTCACCTCCTCTCCCACTCGGGATCCCCCATTCCCACGGCCCCCATTCCCACTGGGCTGGGGATCCCCGTGTTTATGCTGTGGGGCGGGGTTGGGAGTCGGGGCTCCCGATTCGCCGTGCTCGGGCTCCCCATCCCTTCCCGCACCAAGGGCGGAGGGGGCTCTCCCGAGCGCGTTTGCACCCGCTTGTCCCCCGCTTTTCGGTGGGGGGCTCTGAACCCCACGGGGAAAGCTTGACAGGGAAACTGAGGCACAGATGGGGCTCCCGAGGCGGGTGCCGTTTTGTGTCGTCGTCCCGTCCCCCCACCCTCTCGACCGCATCCGAGGCTCGAGGACACGCTGGGCTTCACGCAGGGAGGAGGCAGCGGGCTGGGGGGGTGCGGATCCCGGCGGGATCCCGGGAGGAAATGGGCTGGACTGGCAGGGAGGGGGGGCCGACTCGGTCCCGGGGGGACCCTCACGCCCTCCGGCAGCCGCGCCAGGAGCCGGGCCGCGCCATGGGGACTCTCCAGGACACTGTGAGCGACCCTGGGGAAAGGGATACCCTGGGGATCCCGGGGGATCTGTGGCCTCGGGCTGGGGGTCCATTCTGTCCTGGGGCGTTTGGGGCGCGATGTGCTTGGGAGTGTCTGGGGGTTTCGTTTTCCTGGGGGGGGGGGGGGGGGGGGCCCCCCCCTCCCCCTTGCCCCCTGCCCCCCCTTCCCTGTGTCCCCTTGCCCCCCTGGCAGTGGGAGCCTGAAGAGCTCAGCTGTGTATTCCATCCGGCCGCCAGACCTCTGGGTGGGTGTTCTGGGAAGGACAGAGCCCCTTCAGCACCCCCAGCAGGACCAGCTCTGCGCCCCCCACCCTCCTTACACCAGCTGTACATTTTTGGGGAGATGAAGGCTGCATCCCAGTATGTGGGTGGGAAAACACTTGGTCCTTCCTACTCCTGTGCCTTCGAGCACACCCAAATTTGGGGAGGGGGTGACGTGAAGGGGGTTCTTCCCTCTTGCAACTGTCTGTTCGCCTGGATGGATCCCTGACCTGTGTGCGGATGGTTTTGGGTGTGAGAACCGTGGCCTTGGTCCCCCTGGGGGCGCATTTGCGTGGGGGGCCCCAGGGGGCTGCAGGTTCAAGACAGGAGCGAGGACCTGGAGATTCAAGCTGGGAAACGAAGGGAAGGAAACGCTCTCTGGGAAATTGCCGAAAGCTGCTGACGGAGAGAAAGAAGCTGAGCAGGGCCAGTGTGCCCCTGGCGGGGGGGAAATGAGCCCCCCCCCCCCCCCCCCCCCCCCGGGCGGAGGGGGGGGCCCCCCCCCCCCCTCCTCCGGATGGGAAGGTGGCGGCTTGAGGACATCTGAACTGTCGCTCAGCACGGGGGTGGGATGTGACTCTCCTCACCGCCCAGCGCAGTGAGACGGGGGTCCCTGTGATCCCTGTCCGTCCGAGCCCTCCAGAACACAACTGGGCCTGAGCTAGGAGCGTGCTGACAGCTGGGCAGGCACAACCTTGCACGGGGATTTGGGGGTGCGGGGGTCAGGGAGCCACAACTCCCAGCATGGGGGTACAGAACGCACCCATGGAGGAGGGGGAGTCAGAGCAGTTTTAACCCAGACCACTAGCTCTGGCGTGGACATGAGGAGGAGGAGGAGGAGTGGATCACATGGTGGGGCAGAGGTGCAGCCCCAGCCAGTCCTGCTGTGTGAGGCCACAGTGGCAATGGGATGTGACCCAGGATGTTTGAGGAGTGAGTGGTGGGGATGGATCCTGCCCCTTCTCCAGCACATCCCAGCCCAGGGTGGATGAGGAACAGCTCATCCCCCACAAAATACCACAGGATCCCTGTCCCCATTGGTGTCCTGGGTACTGACTGCACCTGGAACTCCCATCCCCGAGCCTGGGGGGAGGGGGGGCATATAGGGGAGATATAGGGCTTGGGGTATTATTACCCTCCAACACCCTGCAGTGGGGTGAGGCTATGAATGTCTGTTCCTCCTCTCCCTCCCTGCCACGAGCTCCAATGCAATTACTTGCAGACTGGATCATGAATCAAGCTGTAATTGATACATGTTCACAGTGTGGAGAAGCAGGAGGGGCTTGGGGGGCCCCCACCATCCCGAGGGGTTGGGAGGGGCTGTGGGGGACTGCAGTCAGGCACCTTTACTGACCTGCCAGGGACTGGGGGGGCCTCAGCCAGCATCATGGGGCTCCTTCTGCCTCAGTTTCCCCCTGTGTGGGACCAGCCATGTTCAGTGGGCTGAGGACCTGTTGAGGCCAGTGAGGGGACATGCGTATGCGGGCGTTTGTCCTTGCGTTTCCTCTGGCAGACACAAACACATCAGCAGGGCAATAAAGGGGAGGAAAAGGGCCGTGGCGGCTTCTTTCCATTACATGCGGCAGGGCTGGCTTCCTTCCACATCAGCAGGGTCAGGGGAAAGAGCCAGATCCCCAAACTGGGATGGCTGGGTGCACCCCAGTGCTTCCCAGCCAGGTGATCCCCACAGGCCAGGGATCAAGGAGCCACTGCTTACTGGTGTGGAATCAGCCTGTGCTGGCACTGCAGTGCCCTGCTGCTGATTTTTGAGGGGCAGTGGGGTTAGGGATATAGGTTCCAGTGCTCTCATGCCTCATGACATCACCTGGGAAGGGAGGTCTGAAGTGGGAGTGGCCTGCTGGACCCCAGGCAGGGGAGTTGGGATGGGGATGTTCCTGCTGCACCCAAGCAGAAGGAGTTGGAGGGGATTAGTCCTGCTGCACCCACAGGGATTAGTCCTGCTGCAGCATGGGCAGTGAGAAGCTGGGACAGGATGCTCCTCTTGCAGGATGACATGGTGGCATCTTCCCTCTGAATGGGATAGGCCCCGTGGGTGACCTTGGCTTTTTGGAGTTAAGCTGTGACATTTGGCAGGGAAGTGGTGGGCTGGGATCCCCTGCAAGCCTGGGTCTGGAGCGTGGTTCTCTGGGAGCTGAGTCCATGGCTTTGGGGACTGGCCTGGGACCTTTGCAGCTCAATCCTCTTGCATACCCACCCTGGCCACTACATGGATGTGGGGGAGAGGATGGTGGGGACCTGCCCGAGAGAGCCATGGGGTGGAAAATGCCAGGGAGCAGAGCTAGCTCCCGAGTCTCACTCCTCTTGGTACAGGAGAGATCACTGCTCCTGGCCTGGCTCTGGCAGATGCAGGGTGTCTGGCACCTTTGGATGCCCTGGCCACAGCTTTGGAATCCCCCGCTAGACAAGGGGGGCCTGGAGGCCAGACCCCTGGCTGGGTGCTGACCCATTAAACACCAGCACTGTGATCCTTTCTGCCGTGTAATGGGCTTTGGTTTTCTCCTGGCCTCAATTTCCCCATCTGAGTAGTGAGACCACCCCAATTCCTCGACCTCTTCACGACAATTAAGAGCTGCCTCTCACCATCACACCCTCTCCGGTATGGAAAATAAGAGCAGTCCCTGTAGAGACAGAGTGGAATCCCCTGGTGGGGGGCAGCTCTGGCAGCCCCCAGCCCCCCACACCCTGCTCCGGAGCGCTGCCCAAATCAAATTCCTCCCCAGCTGCAGATGGCCAGGAATTCAATTTTCCCAGATCCCATCAGAGACTGATAAATGAGGTCCCTAATCACTGTGCAGATCCCATTAGTGCCAGCCATGCCAGGAGGGGATGCATGGATGGATGTGGGAATGCTGCATCCCCCTTCCCACACCACTGATTCCTATCCCCCCAAGGGGCTTAGATGTCCCCCGAGCCCTCTCTGGCTGCATCCCCAGAGCTTTGCCATGATGGTCCCAAGCAGAGCCAGGCACGGGGACCCCTGCATGGCTAATCCACCAGAAAACATCTAGAAAAATCCTGGAAACCCAGCCAGTGTGGATGGGAAGGGGACTGTGTGCCAGAGAAGTTTTTCCAGCAGTGCCATGTCCCAGGAATGCACATCATGCCACCTCTCTCCCAGCACTGCCACTGCCAGCACCCAAAGCTGGTGCCAGCTGGGTGCCAGGATGTCTCTGTCCTTTGGGGTGCAGGCACCTGCATACCAGGGATTCTCCTAACCATGGAGCAGTTTCCCTGCAGCTGCTGTAGGAGGGTCCATCTGCCCCTCCCTGACATGAGTTAGGGACAAGTGACACGGGGCTGAGTGGGGTCCCTTTCCCCCTCTCTGACGTGGCTTAGAGACAAGTGACAGTGAGACCCCCTGCCCTCACGACCGTCTTTCTTAGAACAGTGAACTAATTAGTGACAAATTAGTGACAGATCATTAGGCTAGTGGCCGAGCCAGCTGTTCCAAGAAGGCCACGATGTTCTGGGGACGGAAATCCTTGAGGAGTGTGGCTGCTGTCCCGATTTGTACTGCCCGACAAAGGGACATCAACAGGAAGCAACCTTGACTCTGGCCCAGTTCTCTTGGCCCCGGGAGGCCGGACCAGGATGTGGGGGGACAGACTAGGAGCACCCCAAGGGCTTGTGAGCTGCCAGAGGTTAGGAAATTTGCTTGGTTCAGCAAACAACCCACTCAGAATGTGTGTGGTCCTCAGGGAGTGGCATCGGTCTGGTTCCAGGCTGCAGAAATTCCATGTGCAAATGGTCTGTGCAAATGTCCTGTGCAGTGTGAGCATGCCAGGCTCCAGTGAGGCTGATGATGGGTGAGGAGGAGGAGGGTAGGGTAAGGGATGCACTGAGCTCTGGGGAGATGCTGGGCTCAGCACAGCTCATTCCACCTGAACCAAACTCTAGTGCCACTCTAAGCAGGTTTTGCATGGCCATGGCCCTTTGCAGGTAGGGAAAACTGAGGTAGGAAACCTCCACAGAAAGGGAAACTGAGGCATGCAGGGCTACTTGTGTGATTTTTTGGGATGGCTGATTCCACAGATTTGCGCCCTCCAGCCCTTAGAAGCCTCAGCCTAGATCACTGGGTGCCAGAGTAGCTCCATGAGAGGGTCCTACACCTCAGCCCTTGCTTCCCATCCATACATTGCAACAGGACCTCAGGCAAATGACCATGAGGAGACAAGAGATATCCCAGAAGTGTTTCCTTCCTGTTTGCCCTCATTATCCCCTGGAAAAGATGAGGTAATTAAGGAGCTACCGTGTTGCAGGTTGTTGCTGCCTGATTAGATTAAAGCAATGTAATTTGGGACTAAGAGTGATGCTGGGAGGAAATGGAT